AACCGACTCCATGGCACATAACAACAACAACAACATAGGGTTTCCAAGGAGTGACTGAGCTTGAGCCGACAACTGTGCAGTTCAAATCAAGTTAATGCGCCGCTCCAGGCCTCTGATTACAGTTTAGGTGATTTCAAAATGCAGATGGTTAAGGTGGATCCCAGGTGTTGTTGTTTCTCAGTGCTCTGCAGACACAGACAGTGCTGGCATCTCTTGAGCTTAGAGGAGGGCCGTCCTTCCCGGGCTTGATTCTGTGGGCTCACAGCATTTTTCTTCCTACAATTCAGCTACTTGGTATGCAAGATGGTTTGTCAAAGCCCTGCCTGGTTCCTTTGGCTTTGAAGCCAAGGCTTCTTGATTCTTGTCCCTGATGTCCTTTCCATTTTTTAAAAATTTCATTATTCCAAATTTCCCTTTTTATGTATTTCCTAATGCATGCCGTGAACTGCATAAATGCTTTAGGCTAGAGCGTTATCATTGAGGAAGAGAAGCTGCCTGTGGGAATTGCATTGAGATGACTCCATTTCCTGGCCCCTTTTGGTGAATTCTGAATCACCCTGCAGGTGTGGCTCAGGGTTGTACTGAGAGTGCCCAAAGACAAAGGCAGTGAGACTTGAGGCAGTTGTAGAAATTTGGCCCCATAATGTTCAGATGTTAGAGCAAGAGAAAAGCCCTGTACCCTTGTGGACAGTCCCTTGGTGGGTGAGGTGCTGGTGGAGTTGGTTCTGACTCATAGAGACCCTGTACAGGGTTTCTGAGGCTGTAAATCTTTACACAAGCAGAAAGCCTCATCTTTACTGCTGACCTTGAGGTTCACAGCCTGATGTGTAACCACTACAATACAAGAGCTCCTTGAACTGCCTGTCAAGTGTTACATACTTTGATTAGAACTTGGTGAAGGCGCTGTGAATCAAATCCTAAATAGGACCAGAAAGATCAGGAACTGTTCTCACAGGGGAACTTGAAAAAGACGTTTTATGTGTCTGGTACAGCCTCATCTTGCTAGGTTCTAAGAGCAATATGTCATACACAAATCTGGGAAGATTCCGGCCTTGAAAACGGTTGTTGCCCATACCTCCTAAAAATGAAAACAAAACAAACCATCAAAGAGCTAAATGAGTTAAAAATAACAAAGCTAATAGGAAAGCAGATCTTTGGTTAGCATACCACTTGCTGCTACGTTTATCTTGTGAAAGGAAAAAGCTGTATTGGTTGATATTTAGCTATAAAACTTTTTTTTTTTTTTTACAATCTTTTCTTACTTTCTTCTTAAACAGAATATGGTGCACCTGAAGATGGGGAACTCAAAATACAGAAACCATTTATGCTTAAGAATCAACTACTAAGTAAGAACCCAGAATTCAAACCCCGCATATTTGTCGTCAAGTCTTTAGATGCTGAAACAGATAGTGATGTCCTATTAGGAATTAAACTATCAGTGTCTTACATGCTTTTGATTTTTAGAGAAATTCTCAAAATCAATAAATCTAAAGTCTTGTATTGAACATTTTCGCAGGTCTCATGCTGTAAGGTCACTTAATAGTGTCTGATATGAAGGAAACATGAGTTTTGTGCTGAATTGTGAGTTTGAAATTTGTGCTTGGAAATTCCCCCATTTGAAAATCTGGCTAAATTGTTAGGAAAGCTATAGAATGTTGACATAGTTTTTGTTGTTGATGTTGCTAGTAACTTTAAGAAGTATTGAACTGATCAGTAAGACCTATTCTTGTATTACGGTTTAAGCCAAGTTTTGTTAAAAAAATGAGTCATATGGGTAATTTACATCAACCTTTTTTTTAACCATTAATATGTATATGACACACATTTTTATTCATCACTCAAGAATAACAAAGAAACACAAGGAAATTATATTAAGTTCAATTATTCACTAAAATGACACTCAAAATCAGGTCATATAGAAAATTAAACTTAGGACACCTAACACAAGTAAACCATAATGGTCACCTAGAATTGGACATTCAAATGAAATCTGTCTGTATTACAACAAAGTTTACTAGGTAGCTACACTGTATACCTTGTAAGACATTGAAGGCATGGAGACACCCTAAGAAACATACTCACAAGATAAAGCCTGAGAGATCTTTTCAAATTATCCCACTTTTGGTCCTTTGCATACCTCTGAAACCCAGTTAGCTTTGTAAGAAATTTTAAAAATTGTGTTTTTGGTGAAAGTTTACATAGCAAATTAGTTCCCACTCAACATTTTTATACAGATTGTTCCCTTGCCATTGGTTACAATTTGTCAGCTTTGGCATGTCATGATTTCCATTTTGTTTGTTCTGATTTCCAGTCCTCTAGCTTCCCTCCCCCACTCCTTGCTTTTTCATGTTTGTTTCTGGGTAGATTCTGACCGTTTAGTCTTGTGTAGTTAATTGTTTAAGGGAGTGCACTGGTCATTCGTGGTACTGATGAGAGTCTAAGGTCATCGATTATTTGGCTAAAAGTGATCGATAGAAGCAGCTTCAATTCCAAATTCAAAGGTAATCTTAGGGCTATATTCTTAAGGTTTCCTCTAGTGTCACCTGTTTTGGGAACCGGAGTTAGGTTTTCATATTTTTCTCCCACTCTCTGCGACCTTCTGTTGTGACCCTGGGTCAGAGCTGTTGGTTGTGGTAGTGAGGCACATGTAGTTCATTTGTTCTCATGTTACAGAAGGTGTGGGTTTGTGGGCAGTAGCACCGTGGATGAGTTTCTTCAATTAGCTTTGATCATCTTCATACACATTTGTTCCATGAAAGTATCTCAGATGGGCATTCACAAGCTTCTAAGACTCCAAATGCTACTCACCAACATAGAATGTAGAATTGTATTTGTGAATTAAGTCAGGTGACTAAGTTGTCCCACTTTTCCAATTAACCTTTTCCCTTTTGTCTTTAAAGAGCTGAATATAAAATGTCCTAATCAACTTGATCAGAAAGTCACAGAGAAGCAGTTACCAGGTAAGACTGAGCCTCCTATCCCATTTGATGAGTCGGATGAGCTGTCTATTTAATTCACACCTGAAAGTGTAGACCTTCCAAGTTTATGGACTTTTAGTAGGATTTTATATTCTAAAATCATTACTTTTCCCCAATTTTATCATCTCATCTAGAAAACAGTTTATTATCGAAATGGGAAGCCCGTGTATTTGATGATTTTTTAAATCCAAGGTGTGCGAGCATGACTGCTTTTGCTGTCCAGCAGCCTCTCATGCCCATTGCTGGACGCTCCGGTCATTGCTCTGGCCATTTCTCTTGTTCTCCTGGGCTTTGGGGGATCTGTCTTATCCTTGTTTTTATAAGACAGCAACTTAATTCCAGTTAGGACTTCCTTGCAGATTTGGAGTCCCTACGGAAACAGAAGCCACTGTCTTTTAGTGGACACACTGAAATCGTTTTTTTACGGTTAGGACTTTAATGGGAATAGGAGTGCTGCTGACATACTGGTTAAGTGCTTGGTGGCTAACTGAAAGGTCAGTGGTTCGACTCTCCATGGGAGAAAGACGTGGCAGCCTGTAAAGACCCTAACCTTGGAACCCTTGTCTTTGGGGTTTCTACCTTGGCAGCTCTACTCTATCTTAGGGGTCACTGTGGGTCAGAACTTACTTAACAGCAACGTTTTTTTTAAAAAAATACTAGAACTGAATTAACTCCTACAGAAAATAAATGCTTTTGTGTGAACAAATTGTTATTAAGTGCTGATGAGTCAGTTCCGACCCACAGAGACCCTGTATAGCCAGGGTCTCCGAGGAGTGGCTGATGGGTTTGAATTGCTGACCTTTTGGTTCAGACTGACCCTGACCCTGCAGTCCAGTGCATTATCCTACAGCACCACAGCAGGACTCAACATCATTCACCTTAAACTTTCACTCAAAAGAAAAATTAGTGTATTGTGCTTAGTAAGTATGATACTGTGGATTCTAAAGATGAATCTAGGATCATAGAAAAATAGAAACATTCCATATGGAGCCGTGAAGAGGAGGAGTTAATATAAATCCTGAAGGATTCTAGTAAATGACTTTAATGTTTTTGCTTATCAGGGCAGTAAATTCACATTGATGTTTTCAATTATTTTTTTTATCAAATGAAGCGAGCTGCTTATCGCAGTGTTGTTTATGAAAGGCCTGCCTTGTGCTCAGAGAAGTGCCTCTTGATTGATAATCGCGTCTACTGAGTGTTCCGTTACCAGTATTTCTTCATCTTTATTAGCAATGCAACTTTTATTCCTCAGCGATGTGTAAGTTTGCTACTATGTGACGAGGTATTAAAATGAGTGGGTTTCCCTTTAATTATTCTGTTTTCAAATGTCAGAGTTGTCCATAAAGGCACTGGGGGACAGAGCAGTACTAGAGGTCAGAATTCCGTGGTAATGCCATTGGCTGTGAATGGCTGCACCTTGTACTTCCATGGGGGCTGCCACTAAGGAACAGCACTGGCATCCCATCAGTCAAGGGCTGCTGTGGACTGCAGTGTGGGCAGGTGGTAATGTGCCCGCCACCTTTTGCTGCTAACATCCCACAGGTGGTCCCAGCCCTTTTTTGAGATTCAGTTACTGTTTTGGGTACTCAGTTGCTTCCTGCTTTGATTTTTATTAGTCTTTTAGATGCGATTGGGCGCATTCAGGGTGATATGGCCATAGACTTATTAATCTTTTCGGCAGAACGGATTAGAATCATCCGTAGAAACTCTATGTAATATATTACTTCTAAAGCTGCGTGTAGGCGTCTGTCTACCTTCTATCAACTCAGCAGTAAGCCAGATGAAAAGTGTTCTTACTACTTTTACTACTCTTAGGCCAACATGCTGTAAATATCTAACCACAAACATTGATAAATATCCTTTAAAAGACAGCAGTAGAGAAATGTAAAATATTGCAGTCCCAGTGTTTTCTTTTTTGTTTTTTAGCTCTTCAGATTAGCAAAAATTTAATAATCATACCCAGAGCTGGCATGAGAAATCGGTACAGACTTACTGTAAAACCATGTGGTAAATGCTATAAAAATAAAGAATACTCATATGCTCTCAGCAAACACTGTCCCGTGGCACTTGTGAGATCTGGTAGAGTCTTATAATTATGATCAAACTGTGTTTCTAGCCTGAATTAAGAATGTATCATTTTCTACCCAGATGTGCAGAAATTAACCCACCTGTGACTACCTTCCAAACATCAAAGCAGTCCACTTACATATACTAACATAGGAGACCAAATTATGTCATTAAAATGATAAAGATCTGCAAAGTATCTGCATTCAGTACTTAAAACAAGAAAAGGCCAACTTTTTTATTCTAAAATAAAGATAACATTTATTATCACAAGTTGCATAAAAACACCGACAGCGTATACAAAAAATGGTTTTTGATAGAAAAATATTTGAATACATTGTCATTGTCATATTTGTTGAAACACCATACTATTGCTGTACCTCCAGCTAAAGCTTCAAAGAAACTATAGTTTTTGTAACCAAAATACCCAATATTTACCACAACCTATCTTTGGAAAGGTTTTGAACAAACCAAAGCATTCCCAGGCCTGGTGGTTACTTTTTTGTGTTAGTTGAACACAATTTCACAGGATAATTGTTAAAGAATGGAAGGACCTGGTGGATCGTTTCATATCCTCTCCTCATGTTAGAGAGGTTACCGAGGCCAGAAAGGGTACGAGACTGCTCAGGACAGCACTTTCCACTCGGTGTTCCTTCAGTAGTTCCTGAGTTAGGAAACACAGTAGTTCCTGAGTTAGGAAACACAAAGGCTTCACAGGAAAAGCTCATGACTGCACTCACATTTACTTCTCTCTGCCGACAGTATGAATCCTTGGTTTATGTAGATTAAAGAAGAAATAGTGAAAACCACTGAACAGTATGAAAACTATTGTCAAAGGGCACTTAGATCAAAGCATTGGCTTGTTTCCCACATCCTACCGAGTAACTTGTGTGAGACTGATTTTGTGATCTGCTTACTGTGTGAGCCATTCCTGATTACTTGTTTGGGTTAATTACTCCTAGGAACTGACAGCTACTGCTGCCATGACAACTGTGTTCTGGTCACGTGCACTCATTTTACAGGCCAGCGGTTATTGGAGAGAATTGATGGTTTCTCTTTTTTTGTTAGACTTCATGACAATTCAAAAGGTGAAAGGATTGTTATCACGTCTTCTAAAAGTTCCTGTGTCCGAACTCCAGTTGTCCTATGAAAGCCCCAAAGTAAGTCGTCCAACAAAATACAAAGTCATGCTTAGTTCTCCACAGGATGACATGCTGTTCAGATTACAAGTGTAAAAACAACGGTTTGATTCTAAATGGAAATCATACATCTTTTGGCTGTAAGGGTAACCTATTTGGGGTACATACAGCAGGCTGTCTTAATCTCGCTTCTATCCACCAACACCACCCCCCCCCCTTTTTTTTAAATTTTAGATGCCTGGCAGAGAAATTGAACTAGAAAATGACCAGCAGTCATTACAGTTTTATTCTGTGGACAATGGAGACTGTCTAGTGGTGCGATGGTAACAGCCAACTAATGACACTTAGAGACCCAACTGTTGATTGTGGCTCAGATTCCCCAGAGATGGTCTATTGAAACAGTTCTGTCCAAAAAAGACTTTTGCAACTTGCCCTAATATAGAAAAGGTTGATTTTTCATTGGAAAGAACTTGTTTCCAGGCTTGTATATAATAATATATAGTAATAAAGGTTTTGTACCTACTAATGGTTTTCTGATTTCACATTTATCTTTATAGTTCATCACTGTATTTCATTATGTGAGGATTTAAATATTAAATAGAAACTAGCTAACCTAATATAATCTGAACACAGTTTTAATGTCTGGAATCCACTATTGAAACTTCTATTTTAAAAGGTTACTACAATGATTTGGTTGGTCCCTTAAACTGAGGGAGGGGCACATCTTCTGCTAATTGACCATAGATGCTATTATACTTCGTCTTAGTTGCACTATATTTAGAATACTTAAAAAAAGGAATCCACATGCTTTTCCCTGTAATAACACCTAAACTGGGCATTATCTTCTTTTATCGATTTCTATCTTTGATTGATATAAGAGGAAAGCCCCTTCCCTGTGATGCTAAACCCCTGAGAGCTGTCTACTTCTACACATAATCACAGAACTTTCCAGGACAACTTAACTGTGAGCTTTTAGCATTTATGTTAAATAGCAAAAGAAAACCTGGGTATTAGTCCATAGTCCATGTAACAAATGAACCTCCTTAAAAACCACCAAAGCCCAGAACCGAGAATTAAGTAGGTTTCACTTCATTTCTGAGAGTTGTTTCGACCCTTAGTTGCTTACTGTAATCCAGGTGAACAGGCCAACCCTCCGTTATTACTTAGGATTTCTCAACTATGCCAAGTGGTAACCATGACTGATGGACAGTGATGATTAATTATAAACAGTGCATTAGCATTCAGAAGTAGTTTTCCAATCTAATATATAATCCAATCTAATATATAAATAAGAATTTATCTGATGCTACAGTATCAGTTGAGTTTTAAAGAGGAAATTTTGTGCAAACATTAAGATTGATCTATAGCACACTGGCTGCAGGTGAGAGGGTCAATCTAGCACAATCCTGAAGGACACGTAACACTGGGCTTTTCCTCAGACTTACATTGAGATTACTATTTGCTATTGGACACTGCTCATTAAAACCAGTATTATCCTGCTTCGCATTTACAAGGGTCACCACACAATTCCTTCAGCTTCCATAATTCTGTGAGTTCCTGTGGAGAATACTGAGGGGAAGACAACATTCCAGTTTCACACGTCTTCTCACACAACCAGAGGCTGTCCTGTCGAAAGACAAAACAACACAACTGCTGATTTGAGAGTTATGAAGCTGTGCTGCAAGAGAGGCAGATAACCTGCACTAGGCAACATACATTGTAGCGAAGCTAAAATGACTTCAAAGATAGTTCAGTCCGTGTACACGTGAACCCACTTGTGAGGCTTCTGGGAGCACCATGTGGCGGTGTAAAATGAAAACAGTAGCATGTGTGTGGATTAAGAGCAAATGGAATCCTATAAACAGAAAATCTGGGAGTCACAAATGAAGTTTCATGTTATTAGAGAAAAGGGGGACTATCTATACAGCCTTGTAAGATTACTAAATTATAATGTGGTTCAAATCCTAACAAAGGAACAGGTCTTACTCATGTTTCAAAGTCCTTCTATTAATATTTCCTAAAATTACCAAGAACAGTCACCCTTCTGATAGAGGGCTTATAATATTCTATGAACTGTACTAAATGCTTCATAAATATCAAAATAAGCCTATGAGGCAGCAATGATCTCCCTTGTATAAATGAAAAACCGAGAGATTAAGTAACTTGTTCAAGGTCAGAGTGCTGGTAAACTAGGTGGTGGTGGTAGTGAGTGCCATTGAGTTGGTTCTGAACTCAGAGCGACCCTGTATAGGGTTTCCCAGGAGTGGCTGGTGGGTTTGAACCACCCACCTTGTGGCTCAAATGACTTTGCAGTCCAGTGCATTAGCCCACAGCGCTACACCAGGACTCAACTAAACTGGGTAGCCAGGATTAAAATAGGTCAGACTCACAGACCCAAGATTTTAACCACTAGACTACATCAAAGATACAGAATTGGCTTGTTTCCAGCAGTACAGCAAAATACATGTATAGAGAAACCCCATTCCATTACAAAATACAAAAATACCAGACAAAATTAAAAGTACCTTTTTAAAGCAAGGCTGAAAAAACCAAAAGTGGAGGAAGTGCTTTGTTTGAGTCAGCATATGCCTTAAAGACATCTGTCGATCCCTTCAGTGAGTGTAGGAGAGAGGGGGGATCACCTCAGTGAGTGGATCTCCTCAGTTAGTGCATGGGAGGTGGACTTATACTCAGTGAGTGTACAAGAAAAGGAAACTTTCTGTGTGAAGGCGACCTGTCTGGGTTAGCCTTTGTTTGGGTGGAGCGGAGAAGTCTCCCTTGAGCGTCTGTACCCTCAGCCTGTCCTGACTGTAGGCATGGAACTGGTCGTCAGTCCTTATAGCGAGCCCCACCCAAGTTCCAAGCCAGAAATTTAGTTCCTAGATTTAGTTCCTAGATCCTACTGCAATGAGGTGCAATGGCAAAACCCCCCATGAATCCACTCTGTAGGAATGCATTGTAAAATGCAGGTCTCAGTTTCTGAGGATGAGCAAACCAAGGAAAAACAGAGTCTTTGAATAAAATTCAAGAATGCTCCATGAACAACAGTGAGTAGGAACAACTATAGAATCCGACTGACAAAGACTGCAGCTATTAGAGCAATCATACACAGAGACTGAAAACGTCCAACAGAGGGCTGAAAATGACCATCAAAGCCAACCATTGTTCATCACTTTCCATTTTTGTCTCTGAAAAAAAATTTTTTTTTTTCCTGGCTCAATCAATATATTTTAAAAGATGTTTTCCAATAATAGGTATATGTAGTATTTTATTTGCTTCAAAAAGTTTGTGGAAGAATGAAATGAAAAAAAGACAATGGAATTTTCCCCTGATCTTTTTGAGGCCGCCTGGTATTAGAAGTGTCCTTCAGGATTCTTAGACTGCATATTGCCAGAAATGCGAGTCAGTTGCTTGTTTTTAAAGTTTTTAGGTTGTAAAATTTTTAGGTTGTAAAATGTTCCTAAGCAAATGTATAAATTAAGCTCATAAAAATATCATTGGAGAGATAACCTAAGTGGACCATTCTGAACAAGAACATTGAAGACCCTCATATCTCACTGCTTCTGCCCAAGGTCTGACAGACAAACATGGAGAGAAACCACACTTCCAGCCCCCCCGCAGGTTTGCTTACCTGGTATCGTTTAGGTCCTATAGCTGCCATCCATATGCCCATGCTTACATCTTCACCCTATAGATACCCCATCAAATTGAAATGTAAACATTTAAATGCGATTTCATCTGTAGACAATGCCACGTGCTCTCCCATAATAACCTATTTCTTTGTTTTATAATTATTCTGATAAGAAATGCCAAACATGGATCCAACTTAATACGCAAAAGAAAGAGCCAATGGCTGTAAGCATGCAACATCTAAACCACAACGAAGGGAGAAGACCACACTAACACAAGGAGAAGAGAACCTGTTCTTCTTGTATAAGGCGTTTTTTTTTTAAAACTAGGAATTCCACTAGTAAACACAGGCTGGAAACACATAGGCTCCAGAAAGACGGAGAGAATTTGGAATTGAGTTCCGAGCTGAGGATTGAGGGGTAGTCGGAGTGCCCCTGACCTTTGAGGGCTGATTTCTATATAGAAAGGAGAAAATGCCTTCCTCACACTGAAAGGCCTGCTCTCAGTGACAGAGGATTGGCCTGGATGAAACTTGGCTTGCTGAGGGATCCTTACATAAGAAATCCTGAATTAAATACCTGATAGGTCTTCAGCCTCTCCGAGTTGCTTGCCAGCCAGTGGACAATGTCTCTGGAAATGACATAACCTGACCCACATGCAAAGGCAGGGTATGCAGGGCTGGGGTACTCCAACTCTTGCCATTTCCCAGTTCGGTCAACTGCCCAGTTCAACCTGAAACTGAGATGCAAAAGCATTTGTCCTCCTCGTGTTGGCCCAACACATGTCCTAGCACTTGACTCCTTGGTCCCTGTTACAAAGGGATCAGCTATTTGCTTGTAGAAGCAAGGAGGGAAGAAGGTGAAACCATTTTTCAGTTTAAGGAAATGAACCACACTGCCCAGTGAATGTTTTATGTACGAGACCGCCACACCAAATTTCCTCTTAGGTGCAGTTTTGAAGCTTGTGAATGGAAAACCTCAGAGGCTCAGCCTTCACACATGGAAACCAGAGCAACTAAATCTCATTGCCACAGACTCGATTCCCACTCAGCGATCCTACGGAGGGAGGGGTTCCAAAGCTGGCAGTCCTTATGGGAGCAGAGAGCCTCTTCCTGCAGAGAGGCTGGCTGGTGAATTTGAACTGCTGACCTTGCAGTTAGCAGCCCAATGTATAATCCACTATGCCACCAGGGCCCTTCTGTGTACACGTTGTTGTTAGGTGTCATCTAGTCAGTTCTGACTCACAGCGACCCTGCATAGGACTTCCAAGGAACAGTAGGTGGGTTTGAACTATTGACCTTGTGGTTCACAGTCCAGTGCTGATCCTACAACAGCAGGAGTCTCTGTTGTGTATCTACCCCCTCTAAAAAAACACAACACACTTCACTGCTCCAATGTTGTGTTCCCAAAGAAGAGAGCTGCCACAACGTATTTTAAAATATATTTTCAGAATAAAAGCCATATCACAGTAGGCTGAGAGTTTCTCTAACTGGAAAGTAATAAAATACAGTGAGGCAAGAGACCCATCGGGCAGTTTTTATCTCAGCTACACTATTCTTCTAAAAGATGACTTGCATACTTAATTCGAAGTTAATTATATTTAATCAGGTACGTGAAAGTCAATGGACAAAAAACTGTGTGACTTACTTTCCCCACCAAAAATTAGGTCCGTTCAAATTTTTGACGGCGACTCTCTGAAATACGGCTTCCAGGTCTACGTAACAGTCGTCATCTGTCTTGAGCAGTAAGTCAAAGCTAGCTGTCTCCACAGTCCTGACAACAGAGACAGGAAGTGAGTGTGAGCAGACAGGGAAGGGAGAGGAACAGCACTCGGGTAATGCATTGGAAATGGTACCGGCACCAATTGGATTATGGTTTCCGTTTCTTCCTCAGCAACAGTGCTCCCCTGTGAACTGGTAAGTAACATGGAAGTACCACGAGAGGTACCACGCTGACGTGGGACAAGGATTCCACATGCTTCTTAGGCATTGCTCATGTCAGACCACTCAGTAGATGAAACTTTTAAACATTAAACATTTAACTTCATGCCACTGGCTCTTTTTCTAGTTTTTAAATAGTATTTTACTGTGTTTAGGTTTCCATTCAACAGTTTGTACACCTATTAGTCAGTGATGTTGGTTGTGTCTTCACAATGCATCAACTCTCTCGTTTCTACTCTAGTTGGTCTGTTTTCATTGATCTAGTCACACTTCCCCTTTGCTCCAGTTGTCCTTAATGGGTTTGAACCACCAACCTTGTGGCTAACAGTCCAGTGCTAATCCTACAGCTGTCCCATTATCCTGGGCCTATAGCATTAAGGGACTCCTACCATACCATAAGGAGCTCTGGTAGCGTAGTGGTTACGAATCGGGCTGCGAACCTCAGGGTCAGCAGTTGGAATCTACCAGCTGTTCCGCTGGAGAAAGATTTACAGCCTCGGAAACCCTGTACAGGGTTCCATGCTATTCTGTATTATGACTTTTAATGACTTAAAACATTTTCAGTTATGACATAAATGCAATTTTTCTTGGAAAAAATTTCCAGCAATTAAACTACAATAAATCAACTTTTAAAAGGTACAGAAGAGTGACTTCTTTTGTCTAAAATCAATAAAGAAATATTTAAAGGCAATATCGATTCATTACCACTGACAATCCCTGCACATCTCTGTTAAAAACCTTGTTAGGGAACCAGCCAGATGGTAACAAATAATATATATATATTTTTAGATGTTTTATTGTGAATTATATGGTAGTTTACATGGGGGAACTTTAACTTTACATTCATTCCATCCTATATCATCTCATTGCCATGGTTCTAACCCCCTCCATGCATCATTAACCACGCAAAGGGTATATCCCAGAAACCTACCCCCTACACTTCCCCTTTGTCCCCCCAGTTTTCGGTCCACAGTCCCTTTCCCTCTCTGGGTCCAAAGACTCCAGTCGCTTCATCACTTTGCGTCATTATCTCTGCCTTCCAGATGGTAACAATTTTGAGTAAAAGAAATTGGGAGACATTTTTATTAGGTCAAAGGATGATTAAATAATGATGGTTCTGAAGTTTATTTCTGATTAACAGTAGAAGGCATATATAACATTTACTTGCTCATTAGAAATAAAAAGGAGCCTTGGGGTGCAAAGGTTAAGTACTTGAGTACAAACTGGAAGGTTGGTGATCTGAACCCACCCAGTGGGAAAAAAGACCTGGTGATTTGCTTCTATAAATAAAGACGACAATGTTGAAAACTGTGGGCAGTTCTACTCTGTCACATGGGGCACTATGAGTTGGAACTGACCGGATGGTACCCAACAGCAACAATTAGGAAAAAAACTTGCGTTATGTGTTGTTGTTATTGTTAAGTGCCGTTGAGTCGGTTCCGACCCATAGTGACCCAGTATAGGGTTTCTGAGGAGCAGCTGGTGAGCTTGAACTGCCGACCTTACAGTTCAAACAGTTTTGCAGTCTGGCGCATTAACCCACAGCGCCACCCCAGCATGAGAAATCAGTTAACAAAGCCTTCCTCTGTGGTTGAAGTACACAAATGAGGGAATATGCTCTAGGTTGCTGGGGCCCAGAAGCACAGACTTGTTCGATGGAAACTGCCCTGCCCCAGGTGGAGAAGCTGAGGGCTTGAAGTAGACAACATCAGCAGGGATGAGGGGAGAGGCTCAGATTTCACAGCTACGGCAGAGGAGAGCAAACTGACGGTGACAGCTGAGCTTTTGTGAATTTCCACAAATGCAGAGCATGTCCCACAGAAAATCCTAATACGCTACAGTTACTGAGTCACTATTTCTAGAACCTCAATCCCCACTCCTTTACACCCTTGCCTTGTTGTCACCCACACTGTTGTTATTGTTAAGTGCCATCAAGTTGGTTGTGACTCACAGTGACTTTATGTACAACAGAACAAAACACTGCCCAGTCCTGCGCCATCCTCATAATTGCTGACACTGGAGCCCATTGTAGTGGCCACTGTGTAAGTTCATCCCATTCCTCTTTACCAAACGTAATGTCCTTCCTGACATGTTCAATGTATGAAAGATCAAGTCTTGCTATGGTTGCTTCTAAGGAACAAATCCAGTTCAGGCATACGTCCTCCAGAACAGAGTTGTTTGCTGTTCTGTCAGCTCCTGGTACTTTTCAATACTCTTTGTCAACAGCCTAACTGAAATGCATCGATTCTTCTCTGGCCTTTCTTATTCACTGTCCAGATTTTTCATGCATATGAGGCTCCTGAAAATACCATGGGTTGGGTCAGGTGCACCTTAGTCCTGAAAGTCACATCTTTGCTCTTCAACACTTTAATCAGGTCTTTTGCAGGTTTACCTGATCAGTCTGATTTCTTGACTGCTGATTCTGGATTCAAGTACATTGAGTCTTTGACAATTTCAATCTTTTCTGTTTATCATATTATTTATTGGTCCAGTTGTGAGGATTTTTGTTTTCTTTACACTGAGGTGCAGTTCATCTATAAGAACTTCCAGTCCTGTTTGCTTCCATCAAGCAAGGTTGTGTCATCTGCATATCTCAGCTTGTTAAAGGTCTTCCTCCAAGCCCGACACCACCTTCTTCACATAGTCCAGCTGTCTGGACATTTGCTCAGCATACAGACTGAGTAAATAAGGTGAAACAACACAATCTGCACACAAACCTTTTCTAATTATCATCCGTTCAGTATTGGCTTGTTCTAGCTGAATGACTGACTACCCCCTGAGCTATGAATAGGTTCCTCATGGGCACATGGAATGTTATCCATAATTTATCATGCTCCATACAGTTGAAAGCCTTTACAGAGTCAATACAGCACAGGTAAACATCTTTCTGGTATTCTCTGCTTTCAGTCAAGAGTGAGCCATCTGACATCAATGTTCTGCATCCTCTTCTGAATCCAGCTTGAATTCCTGGCAGCTCCCCATCTATTATGTGCTGTTACAACTGATTTTGAATTATCATCAGTAAAACTTTACTTGCGTGTGATAGTAATAATTTTGTTCTACGACTTCCGCATCCTGGTGGGTCACCATCCTTTAAAATCAGCACAAATATGGATTTCTTCCAGTCCCTTGGCCAGGTAGCTGTCTTCCAGATTTCTTGGCACAGATGAGTGAGTGCCTCCAGTGCTGAAACATTTCAATTCCTGGAGCCGTATTTTTTACCAAGGAAGTCAGCGCTGCTTGGATTGCTTTCCGTACCACCAGTTCTTGATCACGTGACACCTCTTGAAATGACTGAACAGCGACCAAGTTTTTGTTACAGTGACTTAGTGTATTCATTCCATCTGGTTTTGATATTTCTTGTGTAATTCAGTATTTTGCCCATAGATTCTCCTCAATATTGCAACCAGAAGCTTGAATTTGTTCTTCAGTTCTTTCAGCTTGAGAAATGCTGAGTGAATTTTACCCGTTTGGTTTTTGACTCCCAAGTTCCTTGCACATTTTATAAAGCAGTCCTTGAAATTTTCTCTTCAGCTCTTTTACATCATCATTTTCTTCCAGTCGTGTTAACTTTTGTATAAGAACAAGATTCGGATTCTTTTCTGACACCCCTTCGGTCTTTTCTTTCTTTCCTGTCTTTTTGATGACCTTTTGTTTTCTCTAATGTATGAAGTTCGTGATGTCATCCCATAACTCCTCTGATCTTCAGTCATTACTGTCCAATGACTCTAATCTGTTGCTGAGATGTCGTTAAATTCAGGTGGGATATACTCCAGCTGACTCTTGTGGATTTGTTTCACATTTCTTCAGCAGATGAGCATTGATGGCCTGATCCACAGTCTGCCCCTGGCCAGGTTTTGGCTGGTTATACGGAGCTTCTCCATTGTTTCTTCCCACAGATGGAGTCAAATTTAATTCCTGGGTATTCCATCTGGAGAGGTCCATATGTATATGTTGTTGTAAAGTGTCATCGAGTCAGTTCCAACCCATAG